TCTACCCCCCCCCCATTCTACTTTCTCGAAGTAGAATTTCTTGAAATTCTTTGTGCCTTTCTCCTGGTCTCACGACTGCTTGACCTTGTTGGCGCCTCTAGCCAAGATAACGGTTCCACCTGGTTCTGAAGGTTTTCCTCCCTCTTCTCTCCTGACTTTTATGGCAGGAACAAGCAAGCGGGCCTCCAATTAACCATTCTAACATTTAACCTTGTCAACTATGCATCACTATTCTATATTTTAGTTATGCTTTGATTGCTAGCTTGCACAGATCCTGACACTTCTGGCACAGCTTTTTCCAGGCATGTGGATGGAGGCAGGCCCAGGATGGCACCTCTTGTTGCTTGCAGAGTATTGAGCAGGAGGGCAATTGTTGCTGTGGGCGTAAATGTACTCTAGCTCAGTGTTTTTCAACCTTGGCATCTGGGGAATTCTGGGAGTTGAAGTCCACACATCCTAAAGCCACCAAAGTTATCACAGCCCCAAATTAATCCCTTTTAATCGGTGGGACAATGCCAGAAAAGAAATGCCTTGCTCGCTTTCCCCATTTATGTAAGTGGCAAGTGCCGTGTCCCCTCAGCACCCATAACTGGACGGAGAGCGTGAAAGAGTGCCTGACTCCACATTCAATGATGCTTGGAAGCTGCACATGCCCCAGCCGCTGGGGGGGCAGGTGGATTGCAGAGGGGAAACAGCCCCCCAAAGAGAGCTTGGCACAGGTCTTGGGTGAAGGGGATGCAAACAAACGGGGGATGTGATATTGATGTGCAACCCATTGTATACTTACTACTCTATTTAACTGAATTTAAGATGCCCCTCCCCTAAATGAAAGAGCAGACAAACATAAATTTCCTTCCCACCCCTGTGGGTGGTCTGTCAGTCTCGGGTCCTCTGCCAGAGGCCTGGGAGTTGGAGGGTCCTGCGCAGGATCTGGGCTGCTCCTAGCCCTGCGCTCTTCTGGACAGAGCTTGGATGTTGCTCCTGGGATCTGTGGGAGTCCCTTGCCCAGCTTAGGAGCCCCAGCCCCAGTGGCTCCTACCACCACTGGGACCCCTTTGGCCTTTCCTTGCCACATCCTCTCTAGTTCCTCCTTCAGGCCCTGGTCCTTCTCCCGCTTCTCATACTCCTCCCTCCTGATGTTGCTGTCACTTGACACTGCTACATCTATCACCACTGCTGTCTTCTGGTCCTTGTCTGCTACCATGGTGTCTGGTTGACTGGCCAGTCCCTGCCTGTCCATCTGGATCTGGAAGTCCCACAGGATCTTAGCCCTGCTAT